TCTGGGTGTGCAGTGAAGATAGAGAAAAAAGACAGAGTGAAAAGCCTCCAAAATTCGGGGTTAGAAAAACCTAAGCTCCAATTTTGATGTTCTCTTTTCTAAGTTTTACTATGTTTGCTTTTTTAAAGATTTATTTATTTATTCATGAGAGACACACAGAGAGAGGCAGAGACACAGGCAGAGGGAGAAGCAGGCTCCATGCAGGGGATCCCATCGCTGAGCCACCCCAGCATCCCAGTTATACGATCTTTGTGAATTAGAACAAATTACTTTCACTTTTTAAGATTCAGTTTTCCCATTTGTAACAAGAGAAATCTTAAGCATATTGCAGATTATTAGGGGTTTACGTGGGATCCCATGTATGAAGAGCTTTCAGTGTGATGCCGTGTATCATAGTACTTGGAAAAAGTGAGCTGTTGATAAATAATATTATTTGATTGTAGTGGAGTTGATGATGGGGGAATGTGGAGGAAGGAAAGGAGAGTGAGTGGAAGGCAATTTCTCTTGAGAGGTTAGAGACAAGAAGGCAGGGCTGTAGGCCAAGACAGGCTCTGCAAATTCAAGCCAGATCCATTTGCAAAGATGCCTTTAAATATGTGCATTAGAGGGGCACCTGGGGGGCTCAGTGGTTGAGCGTCTGCCTTTGGCTCAGGGTGTGATCCTGGGGTCCTGGGATTGAGTCCCACATCAGGCTTCCTGCGTGGAGCCTGCTTCTCCCTCCGCCTGTGTCTCTGCCTCTCTCTCTGTGTCTCATGAATAAGTAAATAAAATCAATCAATCAACCAATCAATAAGTGCATTAGATATCTGGTCCTTTCCTCATACCCAGATAACAACTAATTTGTAGTCAGAAGCTGAGATATCAACATTCAGAAATAATCTGTGAGCCCAGGCTACAATATTGAACGCAGAAATCACAGAGAGACTAGAATCTGTGGGAGCACCCACTTGGCAGGAGCTATCCACACTATCATTTCAGCTGCTGCTGTTGGGCAACCTTGACTGCGAGGAGCCCAGGGAGACTCTTATTATTCCAGTGCTTTCCTGATGCACAACAACTATGATTTGCCCTCTTAATGAGACCTGAAACACCTCACTGCTGTATAGAGACAGGCTGGGGACAGATTTAGCATTGAGCTTCAAGAAGTGGCTTCTATGTGTGTACTCATCTGAGAACGATTTTACAGCTGTTGCTGTGATGGTGACTATGGTTTGGATGTGGATGTTGTAATTCGGAGTCCCTCCTGTCTCATGTTTGAGTGTAGTGATGTTGAAATTCCTCCTCTGTACTTGAACCACCGCAGCCCTGTATCTAGCTAATGGCAGCACATTACGAAACATCCTGACATTCTCTTCTACCTTTTTCTCTCCTTCCCACCAAAGCTCCAGTCACGCAGGAATAGGAGTCTCCTGACTGCTTCTTTTTTTTTTTAAAGATTTATTTATTTATTTATTTATTTATTTATTTATTTATTCATTCATTCATTCATTCATTCATTCATTCATTCATGAGAGACACGAGAGAGGCAGCAACACAGGCAGAAGGAGAAGCAGGCTCCATGCAGGGAGCCTGATGCGGGACTCGATCCTGGGACCTCAGAGTCACGACCTGAGCCAAAGGCAGAAGCTCAACCATTGAGCCACCCAGGTGCCTCAGAGTCTCCTGACTTCTTAATCGAGTTGAAAATATACACTAAATACGTGGTCATCAGGAAAACCTGATGGGCTTCTTTCGTCCTCAGTTTCCCTCACCACAAATTGTCAGGCCTCCAGTGAATACAGAACTGGCCGAGGTTCTGGAGGTTCAAAGGGCAAAGAATATTCATGCTGCACAGCTATGGAACATTTAACAAATTCCACCAAAGCGGGTGCTGTCCTAAGAAACATTCTTTAGAGCTGATAATGTTGCCATGATTTCTGAGTCTGTTCAACCTTTGTTACTCGAAACATGGTTTGCAACCAGCAGCCGGTCATCATCTGGAACTTTTAGAAATGGAAAATCCCAGGGCCCTGCAGCAGACCTGCTGACTTGCAATGTGGTGTGTAGAGGCAGGATCCCCAGCTCATTCATGTACCCATTAAAGTTTCAGAACCTCTATTAAGTTAAATACTTAGGATGTTAGGCATTCTCTGCATAATAACAGGCATGGTCTTTGCTTCAATGGAACATCCAGTATAGTGGAAGATGCAGACAATTACGCTGGCCTTCTAATGGTTAGAACAGAGGAAACAATAAGCTATGGAAAAATGTCAAGGAGCCCCCAAATCCAGACTTGTTGCTGAGATGATCAGAAATGGGGGTGGGGATAATGTTTTTGGCCTGTTTTTCGTTTTTTGGGTTTTCTTTCAGAAGAAGTAAGGTCAAAGTTGAGACCTTACCAATAAATGGGAATTGTTCTGAAGAAATACTTGGTAGGCATTTCTAACTGCACGTAATCATTGTGCTCGTTCTGCTACTGAGAATGATTCAAATCATGACGAAATGTTATTGGTCTCTGAAAGGGATCTTAATGTGAAAGTGGAAGAAATTTGAAATTACCTGTACTTAAAAGAGATTGGAGTAAAAGCTTGAAATTCACTAACAGAGAGTGAACGTATTTGAGACATTGGGTACTTTGAAGCTTGTTGGATTTGTTTGTCTTGAATTAGTCAACACTCCTACTGTTTTTCAGAACACCTTAGTGTTTATGTACGAACCTAATGGATTTCTACAAATAATTCTAGAAATGGACACAATTACAGACTTTACATGAATACTGAAAAACATCAATTTATCATCATAGGCTGTACAATTTAAATATACCATGTAAGCATTTTGACTTTTCAGTAAACTACTCTATTTTAACATAGACTATCTATGTACAGTCTTACATTAACTTTTGCCAGTTGAGGGATCCCTGGGTGGCGCAGCGGTTTAGCGCCTGCCTTTGGCCCAGGACGTGATCCTGGAGACCCGGGATCGAATCCCACGTCGGGCTCCCGGTGCATGGAGCCTGCTTCTCCCTCTGCCTATGTCTCTGCCTCTCTCTCTCTCTCTCTGTGACTATCATAAATAAATAAAAATTAAAAAAAAAACTTTTGCCAGTTGAAATATGGTATTGCAGAAAAGTAAAGAGTATTAGAATTAATGTTGGTATACCAGTTTTTAAAACGAATATTAAGGAGGGCACTTTTGTGATGAGCACTGGGTGTTGTATGTAAGTGATGAATCACTAAATCTGACACCTGAAGCTAAGACAGTCTGTTAACTAACTGGAATGTAAATAAAAATTTGGTAGAAAAAAATTATTAAATAGATATTAAATTATTAATTTTGTCTATTCTTGTTAACATAAATTTCACAAATCTGTTGTATCATTTTAGGCACACTTTATTTTTAAAAAGTTTAATTCACACAAATTTCCAACCAATAATTTAACCTCTTTTCATGTCTCTAATTTCTTTGTTTTCTCTTTTTGTGTATTAGTTTCCTTTTCTAAAAAAAATGGTTACAAGTAGCATTTGGTACTAACTGGCTTATGATGTATCATTTTTCATGCATTTTGAAGAAAACGTTTACAACTAAAAACGTTGTAGTTTATGGTTGTAAATATTTAATGAAATTGAATGGGCTCCAATTCCTGAATATTATGGGAAGGATGGAAGGATATTATTTATAAAATATTCCAATTGGACATTTCATCAAAAATAGCTCTGCATCTATTTGTCAATTTCTAGTTTGTTAACAGTGCTAAATGCTCCTTCTTTTATGTATATATCTAATTTAATCATTGATCATCTCATGTCTCAAAAAAAAATAGATGAAAGAGGAAGCATTTATGGTAGATGAGGTCTAAAGTAAATTCTCCTGCTCCCCAATGTGAATTAACAATTATATTGAGGTCTTTAAATTCCAAGCTCAGTTTTTTCTGTTCTCTGCCATGTTGTAAAATCTCCTTTTGATTTAGTTTTTCATACTTGAAGATGAGACTTGTAATCAGGTATTAATCAGTGTTAGAACAGTCCATAGAACAATTCATACCACAATGAGATTTCTGAGCTGAAAGTAAGTAAAGATGTGCATTATAAAGTCCTTAAGGGACAAAGCCCTATTTCCATAGCCCCCAAAAAGTAGCTTGAGTTTTTATTAGGACTTAAAGTTTGTTCAGATCACTTCAGGAGGTAAGAGGTGTGTTGGTTAAGAGCACCAGCTCTGAATTGTGTTTAAATCCAGGCTGGGTGACCCTGAACACGTTATACAGTTTCTCTTTGCCTCAGTTTGTAAAATAGGGATGATAATATCAATACATATCTTGTAGGGTAGTTATAAGGATTTATGTAATATATATGTAATACATATTATATATATATAAATATATCTAGATATGAGTATATATTGTGTGTAAATGTATAACATATATAACTATGCATATATACACAGTGTGTGTGTATATATATGTATATTTACAATCAGTAGATTATCTGAGCCATATAAGCCTGAATTTCAATGCTTTTTTTATAAGAATAAAAGTAAACAATATTAACTAAGAGCTAAGTCATGACTCAGAAGCACATTTAATCAGAGAACAATAAGCTAGTCTCCCTGTAAGTTAAAATACCTTCTCAACATTTATTATATAACATATTTTTATAAGGCTATGTGGAATTAATTTTCTGCTATGAGCTACAGCAATAATTGGAAAAAATATAAAGAATTGCTTACGGGAAGGATAGTGTTTTGTCTTTAGATAGCAATGACTAGCAGAGTTCATTTGGGTAAGAGTAATTTTAGAAGGGAAAAAGAAAGTTATTTTCCAAAATCAGTGGCTCTCAGATCCTTAATTTTTGATATATGATATAAAAATAACCACATCACGGAAGTGATTGATGCCTCATAGCATGTCTGCTTTCAGCTTGCAGGAGAGATATTTTCCTGTGTCTGTAGTTGAAGTATTCAGGGGTATGATGTAAATGATCGAAAGTGATCAACTTTTTCTTTATTATTTTTTTCTTCGTGTCCAGATGCCTCCAAAGGGCCTCAACCATCTTCAGGTGTAAATGGGAACCCGCAGCCCCCTGGCACTGCTGGGCAGCCCCCTGCCTCTGCCATCCCTTCTCCGAGCGCCTGCAAGCCCTGGCGCAGCAAGTCCATGAATGTCAAGCACAGCGCCACCTCCACCATGCTGGCGGTAAAGCAGCCCAGCCCGGCCACCTCCCCGACCCCCGCTGCCGACAGACTGAAGCCCCCTGTCTCAGAGGGGGTCAAAACAATTTCCTCGGGACAGAAATCCATGCTTGAAAAATTCAAGCTGGTCAACGCCCGGACTGCTTTACGCCCCCCCCAGTCCTCCAGTTCAGGCCCCAGTGATGGTGGGAAGGATGACGATGCCTTCTCTGAGTCTGGTGACACGGAAGGTTTTAACAGTGGTCTGAATAGTGGTGGCTCAACCAGTAGCAGCCCCAAAGCGTCACCTAAACTAGCCCCTCCGAAGGCTGGAAGCAAAAATCTCAGCAATAAAAAGTCTTTGCTGCAGCCAAAGGACAAAGAGGAGAAGAACAGGGACAAAAACAAAGTTTGCACTGAAAAACCAGTCAAGGATGAGAAGGATCAGGTGACAGAGACGGCTCCAAAGAAGACCTCAAAAATTGCGAGCTTGATCCCAAAGGGTAGCAAGATGACAGCGGCCAAGAAAGAGAGCTTAATCCCCTCCTCCAGTGGCATTCCGAAACCAGGCTCCAAGGTGCCCACGGCGAAGCCAACCGTTTCGCCCGGCAGTGCTGTGAGCAAGGAGTCGGAGAAGTTCAGGACTACCAAGGGGGGCCCTCCCCAGGGCTCCCCCAAGCCCAGCGCCGAGAAGGCCAGCGCCCCCGGCTGCCCGGCGCCCCCCGAGGGCAGGGACAGCAGCGCGGCCCCCCCGCGGGCGGAGGCGCCGTCCAGCTCCCGCAGCAGCAGCAGCAGCAGCAGCAGCAGCAGCAGCAGCAGCACAGCCACCCCAACACGGCCACCGTGGCGCCGTTCATCTACAGGTAGGTGGCCCTCCGTCCTGGGCCAGGCCACACCGGCGCTTTCCTAGGCGCACTGCAACACGGGCATCCTCAAGACGCACGCCTAGAATTTCACTTTTTAAGAAAACCGTTATTCAGTGTGCTCTGGCCTTGTCCTTTCTCCTCTTCCCCTCTTCTGCCCTCTTGACCCTTCTTTTTAAGAACATGAGGCCTCTCAGGGACGCCTGGGTGGCTCAGCGGTTGAGCATCTGCATCGGCTCAGGGCGTGACCTGGGTTGTGGGATCGAGTCTTGCATCGGGCTCCCTATGGGGAGCCTGCATCTCCCTCTCTCTCTCTCTCTCTCTCTCTCTCCCCCTCTCTCTCTCTTTCTCTCTTTCTCTGTGTCTCTTAGGAATAAAGAAATAAAATCTTAAAAAAAAAAAAACTTGAGGCCTTCAGAAGTTAACTTGTTCTCAAAGGTGAAGTAAAACCCAGATGCCTTGACTCTCTCCTATGTCTATTACTGTTACTCCTCCTACTACTGTTTTTATTAGTAGTCCTTTAAAATAAGTCTCAATTTTATAGAGTTTACAGATATTTTTGTTTTCACCCTTGGGAGAAAGTGTGTCATGATGGTTAAAGGGGCGGACTCCGGAATCCGACGCATGGTCTTCAATGCCCTGGTCTGGCACTTACCAGCTGTGTGACTTTGAACAAGTTACTTAACGTCTCTTAGCCTCATTGTCTTCACCTGCCCGATAGGCAGAATAGTATCTATTTAACAGGGTGACAAGAATAACAGGGCAGTGCATATGTTTACTATATGTTCTGGCACATTGTGTTTGTTAAATGTTGTTTATAACGCATTTCATTCCCAGAATAAAATCTATAAGCATAGGTTTCCAGGCAAAAATAATCATCTACATAATGATTGTATTTGTACTTCATTTATTAGTTTGTGCATTATACTTATTTATTTTATAAGGGTTAAAGTATACCAATAAATGCCATATTTTAAAATATTTCTTCTACTATACAGTTACAAAAATAGCACACTGTGCCTATTGTCTGGTTTGTTTTAATCAATTAGAAATACATCAGTTGCTGCTTTGTCTCCATTTTTATTCACTGTCTTTCTGGTGAGAGATGCTTAGGGAGGAATAATGTCTGCCCTTTTGGCAGGTTGGCAGTTCAATAGCAGGTGAGAAATTTTTCTGAATAGAAAATAGGACCTGCTATAATTAAGTGTCAATATTATATAATAGCTTAAAAGCATATTAAATTTATTAAATGTGTGGGTTTTTTTAAGGAAAGAAAATAAATATAATGATTTGTTATCCTTCAGTGAAAAATGCAAGTGCTTTTCTGGTGCTTTATATCCTCGGCAAAGCAAGTTTCTAATTATTGCATCTCAGCTCTTTTTAAAGTCTGCTTTTCTGCCTTTAGCAGCAGCAATTCATTTAAAACCTTTTTCTTTGGATCAGATGGGAGTCAGCTCTTTCTAACTCCAGAGTCCCTATCTGACAAATGAGAATTTAAGATGTCAAAATCATAATCCACATTTCAAATACGGGAGAAAAAAATCATAAAGTTTTAAATATGTCCTGCTCAGCCCACTCATGCATCTCAAATCTATTCTGTAGAGGCATCAGTCATTTCTAATCATCACAAATGAATTTCACAGAAAAGTCCAAATCTAAGCAGAAAGACTATACCTGCCAGGTTAGCAAGCATCTTCCCAGAAATAGCAACAGGCTTGTTTGTTGGTCGTAAAGTACCCAGTGGGTACAACTTCAGTGGTTTCCATTTGAAAGATAAAACACTCCCTGTTAAAAAGAGGAAGGAGCACGGCTCACACATTCAAGTATGGACCGGGTGTATGACCTTGCCAAATGTCCAACCTCTGAGTTTCTGTTTGCCCTTTTTAAAGTGAAGATTATGAAACTGAGGTAATATAGCCAAGCAGCTAAGAGTGTGGACTGTGAAGTCCTCTGGTTCTACTAATGTTCAGAAATAATATCTTGTGTTGCTGAGAAGATGACCCTGAGAGCTGATTTGCCTGGGTGAGAATCCTGATAATGTCATTTATTAGCCATGTGACTTCGGGTAAACTATTTAAAGACTCTGCGCCTTAATTTCCTAATTTGTAAAATGGGAGTGATAATAGAAGTAGCCTCATAAGGCTCTTTCGAAGATTAAGTGAGTTAATATTTACACAGGGCTTGTGACAGTACCTGCCACATAGTGAACAGTCTCCCCCAAGTTTCAATTTATAATCCTGTAAAGTGTGTGGGTAAGAGTATCCACTTTATTTAGGTGTTTCAAAGATTAAATAAGGCAACTCCATGTAGGGACTTTAGCACAGAGCCAGATTCAGATGTCAGCAATGAGTTGTACTCTTATGAATAACACAAGGTAATTGGAAATAAAACTATCCAGTAAGAAAATTTCACATTACAGTCTATAGATGAGACAATAGTTGCTGGGAGTCTTTTATAAAATCAGAATAATTTTATAAATGATCATGTGAATCTCCTCAAGGTAAGGTAGTCAGTATTTAAGCTTTTTAATCATCAGTGAAAGATATTTATATTCCAGAGTCACATTGTTTGGATTATGTGACCCCTGATGTATTTTTGACTTTGCCTGCTCCAACCCCATCCTGCAAGACGCCTGACAGACTTTCTGGGAGTTGCTAATTATTCAATAAGATAATAGTAATAATTAGCTACTTTGTAATGTTGTTGAGTACCCCATGCAAGTCTGTATGTCACAAGATTCGTATTCATTTTCTCATTCCCACTATATCATAAACTCATGAGAAAAGAATGTTATCTCCATTTTACAGAGATGATGAAGAATCAGAGATTTCAAGTCAGAACAGTAATCATCTCCGAAAGTCACAGGGCTAACAGGGGTTTGCCTTTGAACCGAAATATGCCTGGACCCTTCGCATGACTTTCTTTGCTCAACATTTCTTTCTGGACGTATAGCAATTAGAAGTATTGTTACTAGAAAGATTCTGACTGGAAAAATGTGAATGGTAGATTGAAAATTCTCAATCAGAATTCATTTATGATGGGAAATGCTTAATTGCTTTTAAGGAGTGTAATTTAAAATACATATACATGTGCGTATATGTGTAAACATGCATATTTTTGATATTTAAAGATAATTAAATAACTTCTATAAAATGGGAGGATTGATGGCTGATATTTTCCCCTTTTCCTCAGCCCATGTCTAGGTCAGGCTGGGTTATTAATTATTCCTTCTGGGACTCTAATATATGCTTCATAGTACTCTTTCTTACAAATTGAATGTCAGAATTCTATAAATATAATCTTGAGCTCTGGAAGTTGATGGATTTCATATTAGTCCTACTTCCTATACAACGCAAAGATGTTCTACATTAAGTTTTTATAACTCATTTATCACTACAATGTGATAAAAGTAGTCTTGAACTTAGTATATCTTTATCGACTTAATGAGTGGAGATAACTGAAATCAAAGGTGAAAATTTTAAGAAAGAATTTTTTAATTTAATGTCAAAAGTTCCCAATATTTAAACCTATTTGAATGTAGTAGGCCACTTTTATTAAGTACTAACGTGACTACCACAGATAATTAAGAAATTATAGGATAACAACTTGCCATAGTTTAGGTAAAGGGAAAGCATGAAATACTTATTCATTTATGTACTCATCACTCATTCTGCAAATACTATGTAATAAGAGTTACAAAGATTTTTTTTTTCTAAAAATCCTCTGCCTTCAGGGAGCTGAGTCTATAGGAGATAATGATAAAACATAATAAAGATAAAAAAATAATTGCTATTATAAAAGTATATGCAAGAAATAATGTAGAAGGTTTCCCTAAGTCTTACATGAGGATGGAGTCAGTGGATGCTTCCAGGAGGTAAGCAAGAGATGAGATTTAAAGCATGAGACAATTTGTCAGGTGGAAGGGAGAATGTTGTGGCGTCATCCAAATTTGACATTCTATAATTTTACAATCCAAGCCTTATTGAACATGTATTAGGTAGATTATAAAGTCCTGGGCAAGTGCTGGTAACTAATACTACAGAGACTAGATGTTGGGATGCATGATTCTTTGTGTGGGAGACTAAGGAAGAAAATTTGGAAAGAAGCCATATTTTGTTCTTCATTTTCAATCACCCTGTCCCTACACATTGTATTTTCAGCCAGTCCTATTGGCTGTCTCCCCAAAACATACCCTCAATCAGGCATTTCTCTCCATTTTCACCCTACCTGTCCTAGTCCAAGCCATGTCACCACCCAGTTTCCAGTGAGTCTTCCAGCTTCCACTTTTGGCCCTTTCCAATAGTATCCTTCACACAGCAAGGACTCTAACCCTCTAAAAGCATAATATATATGCTTATATATGAATATATGTCATTCCAAATCATGAGAAAATCTATCAGATTTACATTACACTTAAAAAATGAAACCCAAACACCTTGCCTATGTAATCTGGCCCTCAAACCACCCTCATATCATTCTCTCTGTGGTACACTGAACCCCTACCTTTGTTGTGTCTCAACAAAGTAACCTACCCTGCTTAGTGATCTACCTATAATGACTCTCTTCTAGAGAAAACAGGGTACTTCTTTGCATCAGATCTCTGCTTACATACTGCCTCTTCACAGAAGGCCTCTCCAACCATCTAGTCCAAAGAAACATTTTGTAGGAATCTTGCTGGAATTATATGACATCATCCTCTTGTATTTTATTCATAGAGTTTATCATTATCTGCTATTATTTTGAAAACTAATAAGTGTGATTTCAGCCATTTCCAGCTATACTGTAAACTCATTGAGAGCAAGTCTTGTGTTTCTTATTGAGTAGCATAATGTCCAGAACAGAACCTGCCCACAATAGACACCAAATAAAATTGTTGAATGGAACACCTCCACCTGGATTAGACACACCTGCTATAGGATAGAAAAAATTAGCAAAAACGTACAATGGAATAGGGAAAATCCTCAAATCTCTTACTTCCTAGAAATGAGGTGGCTTAATTG